TTTATCTTTTCCAGTTTGATGAGGGTCGTAACAACTTTGAGGGAGCTGTATCAGCTGACGCCGTTACCAAATTTGTGATGGGCAACAGATTGCCCATTGTTGTTGAATTCACACAAGAGGTATTTAACTCTAAAACATGTTTTCTTTTGTAAGGAATTTCAATTTAAATTTGGAAACTATCAAATTGACTTGCATACTAGGCATGGGATGTTTTGATTAAAATTGGATTTTATTGTAACAGAGTGCCCAGAAAATCTTTGGAGGAGAAATTAAGAATCACATTCTGCTGTTCATTAAGAAGACTGAGAAAGATTTTGACACAAAACTTAGTGACTTCAAAGAGGCTGCCAAAGACTTCAAGGGAGAGGTAGGTATTCAGAACATGTTTATTTAAACTGATGAGGTATTTTACAGCTGATTGTAATATATTATCCCATGTTTACCCCTTAATCTCATGGATATAACTCTTTAGATATTTTTTGGAAATCCTACACTTGTGATGTCACAATGGGTTTTGCATTAGAGTGATGAAATAAAATGTAGACGTCTATATAATAACTGTGTAAACATTAATGGATAAAGCATGGGATAAAAAGAATCTCCCAAGGCTTGGGATAAAAAAAACAACTTGTTGTATAAAAATCCTCCTATACTTAGCAAATTGCCACAGATAGATTAAATCTCATTTCTTGTCCTATGTATCTATACCAATTAGCTATAAATTTATCGTATGGCTTTTGAGTAATGTAAATTTTAGGAGGGCAATATGCTTTACATTGAAAGTATCTTCTCTCGTGAACTAATGATGGAAAATAACTACCTCCTTGTTGCCAATGGTTTGACAGAATTTTACTTTATTGTTTCATGTTGCAGGTCCTGTTTATCTACCTCGATACCAGTGATGAGGACAATGCCCGTATCCTGGAATTCTTTGGACTGAAGGCAGAGGAATGCCCAGCTGTTCGTCTGATCACCCTCGGAGAGGACATGACCAAATACAAGCCAGAGTCTGACGATCTGTCCACAGAGGCCATCAGAACATTTGTCCAGGGCTTTAAAGATGGAAAACTCAAGGTATTAACTTACAACCAAAGTTTAGGTGTTCTAGAAATAATTTCAACACATCAAACTGTTAAAATGCTCATTTGTAAGATATTTATTTTGTTGAGATACTTTGAGAAATCATAAACTACATGTTTTTAAAAACAATAGGGAAGAATTTGTAAATGGGCATAATTATTTATTTTACAATTTCAGAAAGAACAATTTTGAAATATTGTCAATAATGTTTTGCAGCCACATCTTATGAGTGAAGAAGTGCCAAGTGACTGGGATTCTAAACCAGTTAAAGTTTTAGTAGGAAAAAATTTTGTAGATGTCGCTTTAGATGAAAAGAAAGATGTATTTGTAGAATTTTGTAAGTAAATATTTCTCATTTTTAATACTTTTGAATGAAAGTACAATAATTGAAGCAAAACTAGAGATTAAAAACTTAAACCAGAGAACTAGCTGTTCGTATAAACTTGAAAATGGAAAAATTAAGATTCGCTATAAATATAATTTTAAATCCATAGAGCTGGTCTAGCAAGAAAATGTTAAGTCTGTTCAAAATATACTTTTCCAACTTCTGTCAAATTTAAAAAACACAACTTTCACATAGTTTGTGTGAGATTTTCCTTCAGTTGTGAACTATTTTACTTGATTCAAGAGTTCATGATATTGTTTGCAGATGCCCCATGGTGCGGCCATTGTAAACAGTTAGCCCCCATCTGGGACGAGCTTGCAGAGAAATTCAAGGACAAGGATGACCTTGTTATTGCCAAAATGGATTCCACAGCCAATGAAGTAGAGCAGGTCAAAGTTCAGAGCTTCCCTACCCTTAAATTCTTCCCTAAAGGCAGCCAAGACATAGTAGATTACAATGGAGAAAGAACTCTTGAAGCCCTCACCAAATTTGTAGAGAGTGGTGGAAAGGAAGGAGCTGGTGAGCCTGAGGAGGTATGTACAACATAACATTAGTTTAGTTTTCATCCTGATAGGCTCGGTTTTCATTGCAAAACTAAGGCATAAATTGAGACCAGTAGTTGGTCTTCATCTTGGATAAGCTTGGTTTCAATGCATAGCCAAAGCTGTAAACCAACACCCCATTAATTAAATCTTTGTCATGAATAAGATTTTTTTTCAACTACTATTTTTTTATGCAAATTTGAGTTTTTATTGCATTTTGGTATTGTACATTATTACTTGTGTAAACTTAAATGTATATAGCAGGTAAAGAAAAGACATTTTTCAATATCCAGAATTGCTGAAAATCTCTAAGCTGTAATAGAACAGTAGATTCAATCTTTCATTAAGTTTTGTTTAGGTAATATGTACAATAATGTCAGTAGGTATATAGGTATTTCATAATATGTAAACAATCTATTTTTAGCCTGAAGAGGAGGAGGAGGAAGAAGAGGAAGAAGAAGGAAAGGATGCTAAGGATGAATTGTAAAGAGACTCTTTGTTTATACTCCGTACCAACAGGATCTCAGTGAGAGAAAAATCTGTATTCCATGTCCTCAGCCTTTTCATCTTCTTTAAATTAGTTACAAAAAATAATGACCATGTTGATATACTTGAATGATAAAAAAATTGTTTTATTGGCCAAGGCACTTCAGCTGTAATAAGTGCTTTAATTATTAAATTGTTGGAAAACTGCTTAGAAGTGCCTTGTGAGCCATGTTAAAATCGGGAGATGGGCATTGTTTTATTTTTTTCCAACTCTGGATCATTGAGGTTGTTGCATTAGTATTGAGGCAGCTGTGCACTTGATAACACTGTAACTAGTCAAAGATCAACAAAAAAACAGAGCTTGTTAGACAGTTGGCATTTCTTATTCTTTTTTAATTATTGATTCATTCCAGTTATTTATTTTTTGTCCACTTTAATCTTGTATATGATGTTTTTTTTTTCTTTGTCAAGATTTAAGTTTTAATTTTTACCACAAGTTTAATAAATACAATATTCTTCCATTTTTGAAATCATGAAATATTTAGAAGAGGGAGAGATCATTATTTTTTCCCCTGAAAATCAAACAACTCATGCGGGATTCGATATGTGTGTGTGACTGTGTGCATGTGTGTCTTTTGATGGTGATTGATAAAAGAGTCAGTCTGAATGATATTGAAAATTCGGTGCTGTTTAGACAGGAATAATATTTAAAAGTACCAGTATGTTTGTCATAAATGCTCATGTACTAATGTTTTGTACATGTTTATAATAATTTGAAAATTTTGAAATGTAGGTTAACAAATAAAAAAACAACACAAAATTTATTTGACTGTATAATTGTCTTTTGTTTAATATTGAAAAGAAAAAAACTGTCTGGTGGAGAGGGCATAGACTGAGAAATACAAGTGAAATATCACTTCTTAAAAAACATATGATTTGATATAACCAGTAATGTATTCAGATTGTGGCAATGTCATAACAACAACAATGGTATTAACTATGCAAGTAGAATTGGACAAATGTAATGGGATCAATGTTCTATTCCCAAGACTAGATAACTAGAGAATTGAAAAGGCATTATGTACCCCAATATAGGCACTACTGTATAAATTTGCATTCTTTGCTTACAATACATGACTGTCTAAGCATGGGGGGACATATAGCCATTCGTTATAATTACACCAAAGTAAAGTTCTTGTGAATTTAAAGAAAGATTCACAGTATTAATGTTTTGTACAGAGATTTTTGTTTATCTGTGGTATGTATTGAATACCACTGTGTTGCTGACGGGAAATTCCAACTTTCTCAACAAAGATGTGCTCTATTTTATGATTGCACAGACCTGTAGAAAGTTTCAGTACAAGTATAAAGAATGAAGGATGCACATCTTTACTTATTTAGATAGCTGTCAGTTTTCACTTCAACCTTATTGTTTGGACAGAATGGGAAATGAGATTGCATGACAAAATACAGCAAAATAATACTATCATGGTGGAATGGTATAAGACGTCAAATTCAAAGATCATTCATCTGCTTGGTACAACTACTGAGGTCATTCATAATGCAAGGGTTAGGCTTTGGATATTGACTTGCACAGCATATTACCTGACTAGTGATGTAGGGGTCCCAACACCCAAATTCAATTCCTGGTCCAGACATACATGTATATTTTCTCCTTTTCTGGTACCGGTACATAATTTGATGCTGTTAACCACCCCTTGATTTGAAGGTGAAAGTTCTGTCTGGGACAAAAAAAGAACTTGTCATGGGTGGTGTCTTTATGAACCAAGACAATTTAAGGAGGGAGGAATAGTTTGGACCATGCTCATAATGCCTGGATAACTCAGTTGGTAGAGCAATTGACTAGTAATGACAATGTACAGTATAGCAGGTAATTTTAGCGAGGTGCTAATTTTGGCATTTTGATTATAGCCCGCTAAAATTGTGACCATTATCTTCTTCGCTAGCCAAGAGTTTCTGATACACTACTCTTCTCATAAACCCTTGACATGCAGTGCCGTGAAAAGACGGGATCATTTTCGTCATACAGTCTCAAATTTTGAAGAGATACGCACAAATTGTATCATCATCAGAAATAAATAATGTATTTAAATCATGAAATTTATAAAGAATAATCAAGAAAGTATTGATTTTCCATTTGTGATTTAAAGAGAAAATCTACATCTTCAATATAGATTCTAAGTCATATTTTGCACATATCTTAAGATTTGGATGACACCATGTCTATTCATAGAATAGCATGATTATGATCATTGTTCACTTGCTTTTTTCATTCTCGAGAGTAAAGAGTGAAAATATATCCTGAACGCAGATACCGTCATTAAAAAAAAATCCTGATTGGTTGATCAATGTTGATCCACTCCAATCACAACTTGAGAAAAGAATCTCAACTTCTTTAACACCGCATGCCAAGGGCTTATGAGGAAAGTTAGCGCATCAGAAACTCTTGGCTAGCAAAGATGAGCCATAATAAACACTGAAATATCTACATGTATATTTCTTCTTTATTACATTCATATTTTATACATTTTCATGTTTAACTACTGTAGATCACTTAATTTTCGCAACACCTTATTTTCGCTAAGTAGTCATTGACTCTTTATTAGCGAGACAAAATTTTCACGAATTATGGTCATTGCTCTATATAATCGTAAAGAATTCTATGATACGCGAGAATGAAATTTTCACAAGCATACCGTCTCGCGTAATTACGCGAAAATAAAGTTCTCGCCAATAAAAAGTGATTTACAGTACATGTAATTTAATATTGCACACAAAGCCCTTTTCTCAGTATTTTTCATGCCTTTCACAAATTCATAAATAATGGCACATAACAGACTGACGGACAACATTCAATCTGTGGTCCATCTTCACAAGAATCTGTCATTTGGAGACAATAATGGCCTGCTATCTAATGTCTGCTTCACTTTATCACAACAGGATTAGACAGTCTAAATATCGTCTGAAGCATGGAGCTGATTCCAGAAAACATGTCCTCAGATATCCCCTGTCAAAACAAAAAATATTGTTATTAATCCTGACAAACAGATGAAAATTACATAACAGAATACAGCCAAAACATATTAAAAACATTATTTTTAATTATGCACATAAATGATATTTGTTTTATGACTTTCTGCTTTAAAAACATACCGGGGGTAATTGAAGCATTTTTTAACCTTAAAGCAGACATTACTTGCAGACAGGGGTCTTATTTTTCATTTTTATTAAATGTGAAAAATCAAGGCTCTAGAGTTTCAGCAACAGGCAGTAAATTTTATCCAAACTTCCATCAGAATGAAAATCATTCCATTTGACAGTGTGTATTGAGAAGAATTTTTTCTAGGGAGAGGTTATCCCTCTTTGTCTATTTCCTTTTACAAATTTATTATCCTATAAATAATTATTAACAGTCCATACTTAAAATGAGGTTTCATAATACCTAAAATACATTATTTTCATCAATCTTTTATGAGTTATATCTCTCTGTCCATTTCCTATTACAAAGTTAGTATCATTCTAATCAAAAACACCATACATAAAACAAAAGTATTGGACTTTAATGTTTTAAAAACTTGCTTATAATCAAGTTCCATATTGTGTAAAATACATTCATTTCATCACACTTGGTCAAAATCTTATTCTGAAAGATAACATACTGGAGGGACAAGGAACTGAATGTTACGAGACTTGTATCCACCATAAGCTGCCATCTCCATCATGAAGCCCTTGACACACTTGAACATGAGCTCCACTCTCTTCTGACACCAGGGAATGGTCATCTCCTACAACAGTAAAACATAAGACATCTCAATCAAATCATGAAATGTTCAATCAGAAGATCCAAATATCTAATAAGGGCACTGCATAACAGAGCATCTCTCCCAAAAAGCACTTCTATAAATCAAAGCATCATTTAAAGTTGCTCCTGATGCATATTATGTCTCTTCCATTTCATACAAATGACAAACAAGCACATTACTCTCTCCCATTTAATTTCGTTGAGAGGGAATAAAGAAAATTTCAGTATAGGAACTAACCTCCGTCATTTCATTTGAAAGAAGAAGAGGTATGGTCAGGGTGTTGATGTCGTAACGGAAGCAGAGCTTGATGATGTTCCTGATACTGAGTATAACAGGATGACGAGAAGAAATGTCCGATGACTTCACACTCTCTGAGGCCTTTTTCCCATCGTCTGCCACCAGGTGAAACACAACATGGACCTCAGACAGATTGGAATGTTTGGTCAAATAGAAGTCTCCTGCTCGCAGGCCATTATTTTTCTCCTGAAAAAATGATTGGCTATTCATAATATTTTGAAGGAAAATTATTCTCACAGCAATTTTTGAAGGAATGAATTTGAGTAATAGCGAGCGCAGCGAGCTCAATAGACTAACGTGTAAGAACAGAGGAAATTCGGAATGAAATCTGTACATATGTCAGGCAAATTTTTATGTGAAACATTCCCAGAATTCTTTTACTACCCAATGTCCTTTGCGTGAATAAATAAATAATAACGTAAGCATAAAAGGCTTTCAGTTTGTAGAAATCTTTCAAAGAAACAAAATATAACTCTGCAATGTTTTTCGACCAAAATTGCACTAGGTCTATAGTTTCAACCAGACACTCGGCTGTCTCTGTAAGCTTCGACGAGCTCTGTGACGTCATGTGACATCAAAGCTAGCCGAGATGTCTCATGCGGCTTGATGTTTCAAGTGGCTGATCAATTTTTCATGTGTTTTTGAATGGGGTACAACTGCGCTTGCCCCAACAGTCACACCGTACAACATATTAAGATATTTTCTTTGGTTGTCAATACAGAGATAAAGGTTGCAACAATATAGAAAAATATATAACCCATGTAAGCTATATATTATCAAAAATAAAATGAAGTTGAAAAAAAACCTTTTGCTGACCCTGACCTCACTAGATGTGCTGCTACTGCTCTTGAGGCTGGCTTTGTCTGCATCATCTGTATGTTTGTTTTGCTGGCGATACTCACTGGCTAGTGCAAGCTCCTGTTCTATGATTGCAAACTGTTGTTCTAGATCTGGAAAGTGGAAATCTGTTGACTGTTCACAAACTCGGGCAAATTCTGGAAAAAACAAGTTATCTCTCTTTTCATAATTCTAGCTTGATACTACAAGTTGTACATGTATTTCAATAATGTACATCCTTGCAATATTGTTTCAGTGAGTAAAAACAGAAAATCTTTTTTTTCTTCAGTGTCATGCCAAAAGTGTTTCACGTTATCATGACATCAATCTTGCCCAGTATGTTTCAGCAACACTTGAGAAACACTTTTCATTCTCAGGAGGCATGA